CGCAAAGTCAGTAATTGTCTATCATTGCATAGACCAGCTGTTTATATTATTTGTAATAAAATCGTATTAAATGTTCGCTAAGCTTTTCAGCAGGTACAGACTCCAATATCGAGAACAAGCGATTACCAACTGCCGTCCGCTGAATAAAGTTTGTGAGATGTTGACCGAAACCTCAGTAATGACCTGACATCTGCTAGACCAGTTGTTTGTTATGTTTTACGAAACCGTAAATGAAAACGCGCAAAAATGACATACTCGGTCTGTAATGTGTAGGAATATGTAGAGCTCATCTCGTTCGTATGTCGACTTTCATGCGATGAAAACGTTTGTACATTCGTTGTAGAATATCATTTTTGTATATGGAATTATGTTGTAAAAATGTGCACATGTATAAATAGTAAAAACTTTCTCTTCTTGTTAGCAGTGTGTTTTCGTATCTGTTTACTATCAGAAGTCTGATGGAATTTTTTTGTATATATTATTGAAAGGCCTTGTAGTGCTGTTTATCTTGCAGGCTATTTTGGCTCAGTTCCGACAGTGCGGCAAAATGTTGGAAGGCACAAATAAAATGGGGGAAGATTCCAGGTCTAGGTCGCGAAGTCCACGTCGACGTAGAATGGCAGCGGGTGACAAGAGCGGTAACTCTGATAAAATGGTGTATATCAGCAATATTCCGTATGACATCACCTGGATGGAACTGAAAGATATGGTGCGAGAAAAGGCGGGCGACGTCGCATTCGTCGAAATGATTGAAACGGCTGGAGGAAAATCTAAGGGATGTGCGGTTGTAGAGTTTAAAGACAGCGAGAGCGCAAAAAAATGCGTGGAGCAGATGCATCGCATGCAGGTGAAGGATCGTTTCATCGTGGTTAAAGAAATCAGAGACCCTGACAGGTTTTTCAAGAAGGTTAATGACGAAACCGGCATCGATCTTCTCTCAAATAGAAGCGGCCCAAGGAGTTTACTGGACACGAGTATAAATCCTGTTGTTAACATGGACGCTGGACCGAAGTCGTTTCCGACTTACGGCCTGAGCGCCCAGTTTCTAAGGCAACTTGGAATCGACGGCCCTATGTGCAATCGTGTATTCGTGGCTAATTTTCCGTTTCATGTTGGCCCTTCGAAATTAAAAGAAGTGTTTGGCTTATCTGGTCAAGTGGTGGACGTCGATCTGCAGTTGGACAGTGACGGCCGGAACAAAGGTATGGCTGTGATTGAGTATTCTCACCCGATCGAAGCAGTACAAGCTATTTCGATGTTTCACAACCACAAATACTATGATCGGATTCTCACCGTCAAAATGGATCGCTTCGAAAAAGAGGAGGAGCCTCTTAGACCTGGAGAACTTCCGTCCGGTCTTAGAAGCATTGGGATGGGTTTCGGTCGCAACGGAATGCCACTGACTAACGTCAAGCAGTTATTAGTTTCAGGCGGCACCGTTTCGAGTGGGAGTCCGTTGTATGCATCTGCGGTTGTACGGAGCAACATGAGAGGTAACCAGCCAGTTGGTAATTCAAGCTTTTTGAGTCGTGGCGGTAGCATGTCGTCGAATTATCCGTTATCCCAACCAAACCTGATGAGCAACTATCCGCAAGTCCAGGTAACCGGATACTCTGCAAACATGAATGCCCCTGTTCCACAGTATGGCAGCAATCCTTCCTGTACTATGGAGGCATCTTTAGCCGGTACTCCAATTTCGGGCCCTTATCCCGGCAGCTTTGGTTACAACTCTGGTATGAATATGAACGGAAACTACAGGAATATACCGTCACTATTAAACAATGTCACGGATTTTAATCGTCAGCCATATGATGAGAATGTTTCTCCAATGAAATATGGCGTCCGCAGTGCTCGATATATCGTCATTCGTAACCTACCTTCAAGCTACACATGGCAAACATTACGTGACCGTTTGAGAGGCTTTGGAGATATAGAGTTTGCAGACATCGTTCAGCCGGGAGTTGGAAAAGTTCGCTTCAAGACTGCCATGGATGCGGAAAAGGCGGCCATAGCGATGAATGGGATTCTCGTCGAAGGTCGACCGATAGCCGTAGACTTGGCAATTACTGACTGACAGATTTTTGGTAACAATGTCGATCCACATTGATTTTTCTCCCTAACCGTAACTATTTCAGGCAATTCCTGCGAAGGGTGGTAAATGTGTGACACTTATTTACTTATTTTACTGCGAGCTGTGGGTTTTATTTGTGTCGT